ATAGAGGAAGAAAAACCTGCCATCTTCTGCCATCTTGGGTCTGAAATACTGGCAGTCAAAAGCATATATAGAGGAAAACATCCTGGGAATCCTGGTTCCCTAGCATTTCAATGATCACTCTCATGGTTGTGGGACGAAATCAATTCTGTCAGTCGTTTTGCAGGATGTACGGGACTTCCTGTGAGAAAGAGGTTGCCAACAACTTCCACATCGGTGACCAAGTGACGACTTGTGTTGTGGGTTCCCCTTCCCTTGGAAGGAAAATACACCCCTCACGCTCGAGACTGATACCATAAATGTTGCCTTAAGATGGAACTAAATAAAATCTTCCAAACACTGTCCAAGAAGGAATCACGGCTGTCCACCTCATTCCACATCACATGCCAACTGTCTGTGCCGATCAATCGGTCACCCTGCTGCATGAGTCGCATGAGGAACGACCGTCCGACCGGCCTTGGGCAGTGGCTTGGGCAGCTCCGGCAACACGGGCCAGGAGCCACCGGCGCAAAGCTTCTCCAGCGCCAGCGGCAACACCTGCCAGGGGTGGAACGAGGGCGTTCCATGTTGGGGAGGGAACTGCAAGGAATCCCTGCGCACGATATAAGGACGATAGGGACGATGTGCAGGTTGCCTTAGACAAGATGGAGATCCATCATAGGTTTACTGAGAGTCCAAACATAGTCACTTCGGCCATTGAGTCCAAATTTCTGAGGAGACTTCACTATCCCTAAGGATCCAGTCGTACTGAACCTCAGAAGGTACGGCTGGACTCTCCTAACGTGCATAACAGTGTCTCCAATCACCTTCTCAGAGGGTGCCAGTGGATCCCTAGGGTATAGACGCGTCGAGAGCAGCTGTGGCGGATTGCAGCCGCGCAGCCGTGGCGTTGCGGCTGGCTTCGTCGGGGAAGGTCGCGCCCAGCTGCACGTGGGGCGTCTTTTGGAAGCTTGACGTCCTCGAAGGTGGACTAAGGACGCGCGTAGCATGTGTTTCTTCGTTTGTCTAACATCCCTAGCTTTTGTATCCCATTGCGAACACGATGCGCGGAAGCGAAGACTGCTGAGAACAACAAAGCAAGTTCTTTGAAGCCCTATTGAGAGGAGCAAACCCACAAGCAAACCACACATGATGGATGAAACTGATGCAACAGTGGACCTTTCTCATTGTGACAGCCTCATCATACTTAATCTATCTCCATGCCTTGAACTGTCCTCAAGGTGCCATCAGTACAGGATGCTCTCAAGTTGGATCCTGACAGTCGTCGCAAGTGGGAGGGTGTGGCTTTCAACATGTCCATGTCCAGAAATACAAATATTTAGATTGCTAGAGGGATCGTCTGCAACTTACCCATCCAACATCCTCCAACCAATTTCATGAAGCAAAACCTTCCACCACATGACACCCACCGAACTTGCTCCAGCTACCGTAAATAGCAGCAGCAAGAGGTACTTTCATGGGATGTCTTCCAACCAACTGCAGGCTCTGTCCGATTGGTTGAGGCCAACCACACAAGAAGTTGCCTCTCTGTCTCTATCTCTAGCTGGTGAGACATGAACATATATGTGAATACTCCAAACTCCATGACCAAACATCCAACGAAGCCTCACTAGATTACAGGAATCCTCACCCAAATGATCCAAATTATCCAAAAACAACCCCCACAGACCTCGAAGTTCGCTAGTTCTTTCCCACACCATGGAGCTAGGGCGAATCCAAGGAGCTCAGGCGAAGTCGAGCTAAAAGCCCTGGCTCATGGATGGGATTCCTCAAGTGCTGCTCTCAAATGGTGGAGGTCACGGATTGATTTCCCAGATGGTGCTCCACAAGAAACACCGAAATACTGAAGTAGCTGGATTTGAAGTCCAATCCATCAAGCAGCAAAAGACCCCAGACTTCGAGCGACGAAGCTAAACCATCCTAAACCTCCTATGCCAAAGCCTCAGTTTCACAGCCCCCTTTATAAGGGGAGAGAAACCAACCAAGAAAAAAAGACGGCCACACCCGGTGCCGAAACGACCCTCTCGCCGCCCGACCGTCACGACCGGTCGACGGACCGCGCCGCCGCTTGGCGCCGAAGAGGCCGATCCAGCGAGAGGTAGCCTGGGGCGAAGAAGCCCTCGGAGTCCAGAAACGGATAAGCCTCGCAAGGATGCCTCGCGCCAGCCATGCGTCGCGTTGTGCGTGTTCACGTGTTCGGGCACGCGAGGCACGGGGGCAGGCGCGTAGACACACCCCGTCATGTGAGGCGAGTGGGTTAAGAGGTGCGGTGCGGTGCGAGAGGCGCGTAGAAAGGAGTGGTGCTTGGGCGGCGTGAACTTGGTGAAAAAAGGGCTCGGATGGGAGAAAGGAGGAAACCGATTTGTAACATTGAACGTATAAATCTGAGGGATCTTAAATGATCTTAATCCACCAAGACCAAGGGGTTCTTCATGGTTCTTCTATAGCTTGCACGGACCATCTCCCAAGGCAAAAGGTGCGCATCTGCGACGGTTGCGACTGTTCGGATCGGATGATGATTCATGAGGTCATTCATGAGGCACAATCACACAATCAAAGGGCGATGAACATGAATACCTGTCAGGGTTCCACAGCAGCCTTTCACCTCTGCTTCGATGCCAAGTTGCAAAGCATAGGCCAGCAGCAGGTGTGCTGCACCTAGCAGGTGTGTCTTTTCTCCACGTGAGCAAAATGAACTTGAACAACAAACAAGATGCATTTCAAAACAAACACGCAAACACACGTATACTCAATATCAAATGTCAATGGCATTTCAAGCCGTTAGATGAATTCATGGAGATGCAACGGGATTCAAAGCCAAGTTCAATACCCAAAGATCCATAACATCTCAGCCCAGCAGAAACTCAACCAATGTCGCACTCAGTGGCCACCATCTACCACAGTGGCCAGCGACTCTCCAGGCGAGATGTTATCTCCCAGCAACTGTGGAACACAACGCACAAATCAACAAAATCTGAGTTTGTATAGGCTGCCTGTGGCGGAGATGGAGTTGTCGGAGAGGTGGAGCTCTTCAAGGGCCGAATGTTGTTGACCTCGGAGCGCCGCTGAGCTAACAGCACCACTGTTCGTCGAACTGAGCTGACAGCAGGTCTCTAGGGTTTGGGTCGGAAGCTCTTGGAGGATGGTCATTGTTGTTTTGGGCCTTCCCAACCAGCCCCCCACGATATGCAATGATTTACCCAAGATAGGTCGACCCAAAGCAAATTGGTGCCATGCTAACAACTGTCACATCTTTGTCTAAAGTATTTTCCCACAACTGTCAACTCTGATCAACTGTCATTCACGTTCATGTTCTGGATCTAAGGGACGGGCGGCTCGTCGAAATTCACGACCCCCAGGCGGGAAGATTTCTGACTCCCAGATACTCCATGTATGGTATATTTACCTACATTGGGGTGGTTTTGGGGGTCAATGTAGGCATATAATATATGCCATACATGGAGTGTCTGGGTTTAAGATTTTTGTGTATACTGTATAGTCAATGCATGACCGTGTCTATTTAGGGACCATTGACTGAATACTGAAGACTGAAAAGGAACTGAATGCCAATCTGCCCAGGAAGGTGAGTCAAGAAGCGGATTTCGAATCACAGGGAACAAACATGAACTTAATGCAATCCCGGAGGACTGGGCGATGTATCTCTAGATGATCTCTGTCTCTGAAAGATATGCTCCTACAAGAACATTCTATCGTTTAGATGGTCTATGCTCGAATGCACAAACACGGAACTGGAAAAGCGTCCAGTTAAAAACGCCCTGCAACTCGCGCTCAGAAGTGGACAATGAACATCGCCCCTGGAAAGACTATGATCTTCCTTTACAAGCAAGAGTCTCTCACCTGAATCTGTTGTGCTCAAATTGGAGGATGGATAGCCATCACTACAGCCTCGACCAAAATAGAATCATGGAACCCAACCCTCCCACTCTGAATCCTGACGAAAATCTCCGAATCCTGACCCTCTCCGAAACCTTTGACCCACTCTGAATCCTGGCGCAAATCTCTACCTCAATCACTTAAACCAAAGAGCAAATCAAGGCTGCTAGCCACTCCTCGGTCGACTCGATAGATGGAGATGGAGGTGGGAAAGCCACAGGGTGTGGATCAAAATCTGGACCCCCCAAACCATGTCCCCTGTTGTTGGTGGTTAATCAAGGTCCCTCTGTCATCCTGCAGTAGTCAGATTACTTGAAAGGCACACGTATCTTTTTCCAGCTTGGCTCCTGGCTGCACTTCAAAAAGAATAATCTCTTCAAAGTGTTGACTTGCTAGAAAAAAGGCTTCGAGACGGACATCGGGGTGCAATTCTGGCAACCACTAGGTCACTAGGTGCTTCCCGTGTTCTGCACACTTCTTAACCAAAGATGGATAGCTACAATGGTTTCACATGTTTCATAGAAAACGTAAATTTCATGCTACTATGCTCTGATCTAACCCCATCAAGTGATCAGATTGTTTCTGGCCAGGTTTTAGTCAATGGCCACCATCTTGAGTCTGAGGCGTGCCCAACTGCACAAAGAAGTAGATCTTCTTCCCTCAACTCCAAGTGCCATGCGTCTAAGGAAGGGTCACCCAGTCGGTTGCGGGCCAGGCGGATCGCGCGACATCCAAGCTCGTGTGGTCTCTTCATCAGCCAACCTGGAGGGCGAATGCGGAGGACGGAAGACTTGGCAATCATGAGCAACACATGTTCATGTCCCTTAGCTCTTCAACCAGAACGAAAAATCACATGAACACAAAAAAAAACATACTCACAAAATATAAACACAAAAAACATACTCACAAAATCAGTTAAAAACAAACAAACAAACAAACAAACAAACAAACAACTGGAGAGGAAGGTGTCCTGAGATTTCACTCAGGAGGATTGAGATGTTCTACTTATTGAAATGTCGGAAGTTGAACAACAACAGTGGCGATCTACGGCGTTATTTTCTCCGCTGCCTGTGCTTAAATTACATAATGAAATCTCCATCTTTGCAAGGATCTAGATCACCAAGAATAAAGGAAGAATGATCAACTACATTCCTAGCATGTGATGGCAAATCAGGCTGTTTCAAGCGACAAAAAGGCCGTCCCTTTGCGCACACTATCCATGCTGGACTGGATTCCATGCTGGTGCCACTGCCGAAAAGGAAGACGACACACATGGACGGTCGGCATGTGTCAACTCCGGTGCCCAATCGGTGGCACGGTCGGTCGGACGGACATCATCCTTGCTTTCAAGGCACGGAAAAGCCACACGGCTCCAGAGTCCTTAGATTGCTGGGATTCCTTGGCGAATTGTAGGATGCTGGTGGTAGTGGCAGTGACCGTGACCGTGACGATGACGGTGACAATGACGATGACGATGATGATGATGGTGGTGGTGGCGGCGGTGATTGATGGTAATGATTCATGATGACCCTGACAATGGCAATGTTTGAACCCAAGCCGACTCAATGAAGGTGAATATGGCTGCCCTGTATGCCTCTGTTGTCTATTCATGTGGCAAGGTATTAAGTCACTTGAGTCACGTTTATCTGGAGTCCCTTGGGGAATGCCACCAGTTTGGCATATGACTCTGGATCAGGCCAGAGGTGGTTCAAGAGGTGTCAATGTAGGTATATAGTCCAATGGAGTGTTGGGATTCCGGCAAAAAGAAGGATGCAATCCTACACCTTCCATCCCCGCCCAAAAAACACATCCTCAGCCCCTGCTTCCGGGATTCGCAGCTGCACAAATGCCATGCGATTTCGACACTGATGTCTGATGCATGTGTGTGTTTCCCTTGGTTTTCCTTCCCCAACACACCAACGCCGCATCCCACACCTCCGCAGAGCGACGCTCCGCCCCGGACGCACCCGTTCCAAGGTGCGGTGAGTCGATTCTCCGAGAGGTCGAAGTCTACGAGCACTTGCAGAGGGCGAGGAGTCGGCACGACCCCCTTGGTGGACACCGCGTTGACGTCCGCCTTGGTGGACATGGTATATGCCGGGACAGGACCAGGTAGGACCGGTGATTTACACACAAAACCATATCGGACACATCCTGGTGTATGTGAGATCTGGTCGAAATGTCTTCTTCCAATGGCATGGCTGAACTCCATGTGTGGGATATCTGAAAGGTAGGTCATATGGTCATATGGCCTTGAAAAAGGTGTCCCCTATGCCGCAAGTTAAAAAAACTGAGTGTTGACCTGGCCAAGTAGGTCGCGTCCGGCTGAACCAAACAGGCGTTGGAGTGCTTCGGCTGAACTGCCACCAGAACCGTTCGTCGGTTTTAGAGAGCTCTGGCAATATCATCCCTATCATAGGGATCCAGTCGTACCGAACCTCAGGTTCGGTACGACTATAGACCCGACTGGCTGGCACCTACCAGTACATAACAGTGTCTCCAAAAAAGAGAGACAATCGCATGTCCCGCCATTAGTCTGCTGGCGAGTATCACCCACCGGTGCCACGATGCCGTTAAGACTCGCGGGGATTTTGGAACTGCCTTGCCCTACACCTCAAGTACGACTGGAGGCCTAGGGTTGTTGCTTTCTTTGCACATAACAATCATTCAAAGGGTCAAAGGGTCAAAGATCTTCAACTTCGAAGAACCAGGAAACTAGCAATCCCTAGGGATCCAAGTACCTTCTCACAAGGTACTTGGACCCTCCAAACCTGCATAACAGTGTCTCCAATCACCGTACCTGAGGAGGTACTTGGATGTACTTGGATCCTTAGGGAATCTCAGCCATCTTCAGGACAAGTCTCCCATTCTCCCCGTAGGTCCTCGAGGAATCTGTCCAGGGCAGCGGTCAGCGAAGGGATGTCCTGATGAACGCGTCAAGTGGAGGCGTCTGTTTGGGCGTTGCGCCCTCGGTGCCGGAACCAACCATGCTAGGCCCCACCCCCCTGTAGACCTAAGCCACCTGAGCACGAAAACCCGAATATGGATGTGGGACAGGAGCCGCGTTGCGGAGGTTGCTAACATCTCTTGAAACTCAAGCCGCAAAAAGTGATCAACTGACTGAGTATAGGTCTTTGGTCTCCCAGAAACCCAGCCATTCTTGGTCCGAGAGCAGCGAGAATTGAACGTGTCAATGTGTGGCAGCAGAACGTGTTGTTTTTTGAAACAATCACTGAGCTCTTGGAAGTCTTCGATGCTTGGAAGAGTGAGGTGAGACTCGACGCGCCTCCTAGTAGGGAAGAAACCTGGTCAATGAAGCTGGGTATTTTGATGGAGAAGGTGTATATATATATATATATAGAAGTGGTATAGATATTTATATGTTATATGACGATTCTAGTATGATTCTATACTGATGTGGCAATGCAGAGGGTTTGGTGGGAGATGTTGAGAAGATGTTTATTATGGTAGTAAGTGGAGGGCTTTGTCCAGTGAGTATGACACGTTTAGAGTAGGTGAGAAAGCACCGCCCACCTGTACACATTTATACGGGACGACATGCAGCGAGTTGCAAAATGCAGATTACCACCACAGCCACAAAGATGCCATTAATGACCTGACCCGACAATGTTACAATGACTAAGATGCCTCGAACCAGGTTACAATGTTTCATGACTTGAATGTGATTGTTAACCTTTTGCTTCAGACTACGGTAGGAGCTACACTTCAAGAACCCTCCACAGAAAACGACCACACCCTTCGATTCCAGGGCACCACATCATGAAGTTGGAGCCCAGCTAAAGAGACCTACGCTACGCGAATCCCTTTGGAGCCAACGAACGAACGACGCAGAACGCCACGTCTCGGCCGTTCGTGCGCCCCGCAGGACTTGGGGAGATGCGCCCACCCCGGGGGCACAAGAAGGCGGTCAGGGGGGCGGAAAAGCGAAGGTCGATTCTTTTGGGTTGGCGAGGGTCGATCCAGCAAAAGATCAAACAAGATCCAATGGTCAAAAGACATGGTTTTTTTGGGACAGCAAATGTGGTGCCCCCCAAAAGGAAACATTGCTTTGCCCAGTCATTGGAGCTATAGGGATACCTTGCGAGGGTGGTTGCAAATGAGCCAACTCTCACTTAATATTCCCTAGGGCTCCAACCATCTCCTCAGAAGGTGGTTAGACCCCCCAACCCACCCCCAACCATCTTCTCAGGAGGTGATTGGAGCCCTAGGGATTAAATATTCATGTCCATGATATGAAGTGTTGTTGTTGTGAGTGAAATCCGATGCGCTTCACCATGCTTCCCTTCACCATGCACTTGCCATGCACCTGTCCCCGCTTCCTCCCCACACACAAGTCAGTGCATGTTGGGGGTTTGAATCCTGATCCCGGGTGCCATACAGTAATTCACAGCCAAAAGACCCTTCGAATGTAGGGCTAACCTTTACAGACCTGTTACCTCTAGAGTTTACACAAACCTGTTACCTCTAGAGTTTACAGTAGGCAACCCAAACACTTCCCAAACTGCCGCATGATGGTGGATCGCATAGCTTCTACCTCGAAGAACCACCATCTCCAGCTTCATCGAACCGGGAAACCTCCACTTCACTCCGGTGGTCTCTTCACTCCGGTGGTCTGACCACCAGTCCAGTCCGGTCGAACGCACGCAGCCCAGGGACTGACGAAGCCGCCAGTGGCGCCCCAGGCCACGAAAAAACGAAAAAAACGCCTTTAAGGAGGCCGCTCCGGGGGTCTCCAGCAACTTCAGCCGCAGGAACTGGCACCACCAACTCCTCAGGGTGAGTCTTTTGGCTTTGAGAAAGTCGAGACGAGCGTGGCGTGAGTGTTTCGCCAAGCTCGGAACCGGGAGGTGGGTTTTTCGGTCTTTTCCGGACGCAAGAACGGGGAAGTTGGAAGTGGAGAAATTCATTGAAACAGTGTTATTTGAGAAGTTGAGGATGCTTTTTGTGGGTACCATACTTGTTCTGGTCCACTTGGTTCCCACTTCTGCGACACCCAAGTGCACCCAGTGGACAAACGTACTGCTCCATACTTAAAAACCCCCATGATAATGACCCATTACCCTACAGTCGTACCTCCTCAGAAGCTACACCCATCCCCAAACACCCTCCTTCTCAGAAGGTACAGTACTTGGAGGCCTATAGGGAACTATGCAGTCCGGCCGGGGGTGACACTCATGCTCATCTCCACACCGACGTTTGCATGTCGAACAACTTCAACGCCAGCCTCGCAGCTCGTCCGTGCACTTCCCCGTGGTCACTCGGGCTCGTGGTGGCGAGACCCTCGGAGCTGGCCTGGAGCGCATGGCCACCAGTAGGCGAGATGAGCCTTCCCAAGTTTGGGGACCAGGGAGGAATGGAAGACAATTAAGTGAAACATTCTCCCATCGTAAGCTTTCGGAAAGTCAAACGTGGACGTCATCATGGATGCGAGATGATGTGAGAAACTCAATATAAACGCTCATCCTGCCTGCTCTTCCTCAACAGGGACGTTTTCTCTGCATTTGTTTCTGGCCTTGGTCTGCTCTGCACAGAAAACCCAATGCTGTTGGTGGCAAGTCCAAGCCTTACTTGTGCGCCTACGACGCGTCCCTGCAGAGTTGGAGGACACAGAATGGATTCGCACATGCGGATATTGGAGAAAACGGAAAAGAACGATGTGATCGCAACATGCAACACCCCACTGAATTCAGGGAGTTCGCTTTAAAAGGAAGCCAAAGAGCCTGGCCACAGAATGCCTTTGTCGAATGACCGTAACTTGGAATGTCACCCAGGTGTTCTGAGAAAAACAACGTCCGCTTGTGATGTCTGTTTTTGCTTAGGGATGCAAGCTAGATATCGGATCATCTGCTTTCTGTTGGTGATTGGAAGTACTGATCCACACACCTTCACGTTGTTGGAGGTCCCACGACTTGGAACACCGGCCTGCCGCCTGCAAAGGACCACAACCCCCAAAGCCACGTCGGGGTTGGTCTTCGGAGAAGGGGAGTTGGTCTCCACCAACCGGGTCAATTCTCAGGTTCTCTCAGGTTCCAAGTAGCGATGCCCTTTGTTACTAGTAGCGTCCGATCGCTCCGTTCGTAGCGATGCTTTGCGCGGGGTGGACGCCGCCCGTCGCGCGGCCGCCCGTCGCGGTGCCCAGCCGAAGCAGCTGATGCCCAGCGAAGACCAACGCCGTTCGGTGCGGGCACGTCGGCTGCGTCAGGTGCAGCACCAACTGAGAAGTCAGAGGCATCAGGGTTTGGTCGAACGGAAAAGATATGAGAAGATCATTGAATCATAATCTGTATCTCCACTGTCAGGGCTGGGAAATCCGGGCATTCCGAGTTGAGCAATGGTGTAAAGAGAGTGTATGTTGGATCAAGGCTGGTGAGTTCGTCAAAATATGTCAGAGCTCTTCTGAATTCTACCAATATTACTCTTGATTGCTCTTGGGATACTGACTATCGAGCCAAAGCTAAACTCACAGCTCATGTAGCGCAGTCCTACATCACACTGTTCCAAGTCATTTATATACTATGAGAAAGTCAGTAAGGCATGACAGGATAGACCAAGTAGCAAACCTCCTGAGATGTTCCTCTGAAAAAGACATCACTGACAGTGTCGGGTGAATCCTCTTGAATTGACTTCCTCAGTTTGCCTGGAACATAAAGGTGAACCGAACTTTCTTCCTGTTCCCGTCTCCCCTGCTAGCCTCTGCAGCTAGCTCACCCGTGACACTCTGGTCAAGCGGTGGAAGTCCTTCCTGTTCTTGTTTCGTGGGGAAACCAATCCCCAACAAAAGGCTAAGCCTTGATGATCCACGTGCGATTGCTGGGTAGGAAGGAAGCTGGTTCACAACAGTCGTCCAGAGATTCCGTTCGGCAGCCAGCCGGCCGCTTGTTAGCGACCAAAGCTTTCCTAGGGATCCACATACCTTCTGAGAAGGTGACTGGAGACATTATGTACAGGTTTGGAGGGTCCAAGTAACGGTACGACTGGATCCTAAGGGCTTGTTTCTACACCCCCAAATCTGCTCTTCAAAGTGGCACCGAGAGGACTGAAGAAACATCCATCGAACTGGTTTCACGTTCACCATCTTTGTGCTGCGACTGGGATTTAGATGGAAGGAGATCTTTGCCTTTTGATGTAACCTGACCCTACAGTTTCCCTGGAGAATACAGGTGAACCTTTTTCCACCAGGAAATTCCGTGGGGAAACCAAATCCTTCCCAAAACATCTCGTCTTCCGATCTATTGCTTTTGGTTGCATAACAACGGATGCTCCAGAAATTCAGGAACTGTTCAAATCCTTCCCCCCCACCTGCATGGGCCTCAGGCTTCGCCTCGGGTTCTGCCTTCGGCCAAGGAAGATGACAGGCAGGAAGATGCAGGAAAGATTGGCACCAAATGTGACCAGTCCACTATACTGGTGTCACTGGTTGGCTCACATTCTTCAGTTCCTTTCATACAAACTGATACAGTTGTTGCACTCACTGACAATTCACCAAGCCACCCCCTATGAAGCAACTTGCTCTTCTGGGACACGGCTAGGAATTCAAATCTTGTGAAGGTCCGCCAATGTCTACCCTCTATGTCGCCAAACCATTTGACCCAGCTTCACCGGAAGACCATGCATGAGCACACACACATATCGTCACCCGGATTCCTCTGGCAGGATCCGCACGGTGGCTCGGTGGGCGCCTTCCGGTCCTTCTTCGCGCAGCCCAAGCGCGCGAGCGCCACCCTGCTCGCGACGGGCGCTGCCGCCGCTGGTGCGGCCGGTTCGGGCCCGGTTGCTAGCAAAGGCCCGGCGAAGCACACCTCATCACCACCTGTGGGTGGGAATGGCGCGCGCAAGCGAGATGCTTGGATTTGATATGATTTGATATGATTTGATCATATAGATTCATATGGTCTCAAGTCTCAACTTTGTTTTGGTCTTGTTTTGAGAACGGTCTTGCTGTGATCATGGTGTTTTTATGTTGATCATGGCAAATAGGAATTGTTCTGAGAATGGTGAATCTGAATGGTGTTGTTTTTGAGAAATACTGTCAGTTAATAAAGTTAATATGACTGTAGTGTTTGTTGTTTTTGATCGCACATGCTGTCCAACCAGCTCCCATCTCCCTCCTCAAATGGCTCTTTGGAAACGAATCAAGGAAAACCATGTTTTTTTTTTCCCACAGCACCCACTTTATCACCACTGACCTAAGGCACCTCAAGGTCAAGCAAGAACTTCCTCGAATGCCAATCAAAGGATCCCTTCTCACGCCGAACTCCCCAACTCGCCCTCTTCACTCCGTGGTTTTCGCTCGCCCGGGCGACCACCGAGTCACTGGAGTCTTCCACCGGCTCGACCGGGCGCCGAGCCAAGCCCCATGGCACCGGCGGTGCCGCCGGCGCCGCGTCGACCGGCTCGACCGCCACGTCGGTACCGGGCTTCGTGGTTGGGGCGTCGGAACGCCTCGGGGGCGCCGTGCCGGTTGGAACCGGAGAGGCGGAGGTGGTCCAGATCGAAGGGCCGTGTGTGGGGCCGTGTGGGGTATAGTTCCCTCGTCTCCTGCGGGTCACACTGGTCAGATTTATTTAAGTGAAGCATTTACGACAAGATGTCCTGATGTCCTGCTTACAGGTTCGGCGAAGCAAACATCGGGTGCCATGTGCCATGGAGGTCTTATGGGTAGCTGGGCAGGGGAGCTGGAGGTCTCCAAATCCTTGGGGTGGCTCTTGGCAGTTCAGAAGCCATGCTTCGGAAGAGGTTCAGTCTTCCATCTATTTAGGCGGTCACCATATATAAGTAGAAAGCAGAGCTTGACTTCAATTTCCATGCGTTCTCCGCGGTATTCATGCAGTTATAACAAACTGCTTGGTGGGCAAATTGGGTGGCATATGTATCAGTTTGAAGACCTGTGAACTTCTCTATAAAGACAAATCTTATTTAATGTAATTCAAGACTTTCCCATATTGGGTGTGTATCAAAATAGGGAGACCTCCCAAAGACCACTGGGTGAAGGAACATAGACCAAAACGGCTGCGGTTCTCATAGGGTCATATGGGGTCTCCCGAAATACACACCCATTTGTCCACTGTCTCCCTGCAGCGAAGATGCTGTACATTCACCCAGCTGCCTGCCATCAGCGCATGGGAAAATCGCTGCAGCGCATGCGCACGCGTTGCGCGGCCAGGCACGGCACAGCGCACATAGCAGCCATGGCAGCTGAGGCTAGGTGATTTCGTTCCAGGAAAAGCCTTCAGAATCCTCTGCTGGTATCAGTGAATTCTGCTGTGCCGTTAGCTGAATTTGCTCATAAATTTTGGTGTCCCTATGTTAGTAGGAAAAGTGAATGTGCTTTCGTGTGAAGTTAGAGTCCCAAAAACGCCAAACTTGGCCGGCTTCAACCACTTTGCTTCGTCTGCTCTCTTCCATAGGTACTGTAAGTCATAGGCATTTTCTGACCCCTTTCACCTCTTAGTGGTATTACATCCACTGATTGGTCTTCCCCGTCAGTGATCATCTCCGACGGGGTCCAAAGTCTAATCCGCTGATCTCTGTCCCAAACTCCTTGTGGTTTGGCCCAAAAGGGCTGGAGCAGTTACTCCCAACTTCCGTTGGCTCCAAGCTTGGGCAATCGAGCAACGTAGCCGTGGTGGACGGATGCGCGTCACAAGACCAGTCTGGACATGAGAGATTCCCGGAGGAGGCACCAGGCTTTGTCTTCGGAACCGAAGCCTCCGGATTCGGAGACGCACACAGGATCAACGGTCATATTCAACCCCCAAAAACCTTCCAGTTGGACGTTGTTCTGGCAAAACCGTCACCGAAAAAGAGTTCGATATCGTTCCCCAAGAAGAATTGAACATCCAGACTTGGCAAATGATAAGTCCAAAGGCAACACGAACCTACAGCCTGTATGTTGGCATCTCATTTGTATTTTGTGTTTATGACTCGAGTATCTTCGACCCTCAAGGCAGACCATGCATCTTCTGTAGTCAGGATGCCGTAAGGCTTCAACAGGAACTTGACTTGTAGCTCTCGCTCTGATAAATTCTTCGTCATGTTGATGGAAAACAATTCCTGAAATGTGAACTTCCAAATGTTCACACATCTACTCCATCCTGCGCGAAGCTACTTTGGGCCTCTGGCAGCAGGAAAAACCTGGAGGATAATCTCTGCCTGTGTTCCCCAATTCCTTGTTAAAACCGATCTTCCTCTAGCAAAACTGGAGCGTTATGCCAGCCTTATTCCACCCTATTTTCTCCACCCCTTCTCCCAACTCCAAGCGGCGGAATCCACAAAGACCTCGCTGGGAACCTGCGACCGACCGCGATGAGCCGGATGAGCTCATCTTTGGGGCTTTGGAATCGCGTGCCAAGAAGTTTGACATCTGTTGTGATTTGAGGTGCGGACAATTTATTTGTTCATGCAATATGCCAGATGCCAAACTGGGTCGTCCCCTATCGGTTGTGAAGAATTAGGCATTTGAAATGTGATGTCATGATGGTGTCATTTGTGAAGCATCGGTTGTGAAGGGCTTGCCGGGCTTGCCATGTTGCGTTTTGATTGCTGCGCGGTTGTGTTTCCAGTTCGGGGCTTGAAACTGCGAGTGCCTTGTGAAAGGCTTGTGGAAGCAAACAGCAGAGTAGCATCTCCTTTTTCGACTTGGTGTTATCTGACATTGAACTCGAGGAGCTGGATTCTGAGCTGGTGCTCTGACCGTGACCTGCTTTCACAATGCTTTGCCTTTTCTTGGCCAAAAGTTGTTGCTTGTGTTTACTCCTCAGTCTCCTCAGTTGTAGTCTGCTGATATTCTTGTTAATTTCCTCTTGGTTGTCTGCATCATCTGGTGATTTGTACATGTTTGCAGAATCTTCTAATGCCTCCTTGTACTTCTTTGCTCGCCTTACTGTAAACACCAGTAGGGTAACATTGCAATCAGGTGAAACTACTCTACCATGTGGATTCTAAGAAATGACAACTGCAGCTACAAACATGAGAGATCTCTGCATAGACACCCGCAATGGTCCTGAATATAGTGGCACCCTTCAAATGGGACAAGGGGCACCAAAGCATGTAAATCTGCAAAACATGGTATCGGTTAGTATCGGTTGAGCTGTCCATGAGAGCTCCCTTAGTCCACGGTGTAACCACCCAATTGTTGTTCATTAATGAAACCTCATCGGCGAACTCACTTGACAATGGTGTGATAGCTCTTGCAACATAACCCACTAAGGTTCAGAATATTGAAAAGCACCTTGGATTCCAATTCACAGCCATCGAAAACAAAACAACAATAACAACCAAAACAATCTTGGTGGGTTTAGGGGTATCGGTGCTGGGTCGTCCCCTATCGGTTGCCAAGGATTCCTTCACTTCTCTATAAGCACAAGGCGGCCTCTTACATATTTAGTATTCCAATAATTTTGTCGGTTGCTCATTTGATTGCATCAATTTACAAGCCTGTTTTAGCATGCTGCTGCTATAGTATGTTAATGCATGATGGCTGTGTTCTACACACATGTTTCTTGTTATTATATATGTTCAACGCATGAAGCCTCAGGTTCATTTCAAGGGGGTAGTTACGTTCCACTAACAATCTATTCTCATCCGGCCTTTGAACCCAGGTTACTTTGGAGATATTTCATGGTCATCTGGGATCTGGCCTGCCGAATAATCGCCATCAAATACCAGTTGAATGTGTTGCACGATGTCACTATGTTACTTTGTGGGTGTGGGAACATGTTGCAGGGGTTTTTGATGATGGCAACAAAATCATGTCAGAAAAGAACTCAAAGAGCTTGGGTGCGGTCTGTCCTTCGGAAGGGATGTTCCCCAAGATGCAGAGGGTTCGGTTTCCAGGCTGCACTTGACATGACAGGAAATCAAATTTGCTGCGTAAAATAGCACTTCCTCTCAACGTTGACACAGATATGCACAGCGACAATCATCGGTCGTGTCGTTTTCCTGTCTACAATGGGCACATGATGACACATGTCTTCTCTCCCCAAGTTCTATATCTTATATCATTCTCAGTCTTCCAGCAATATACGTGACAGTGGCTATGTGGTGTGGACTGACTTGGCACAATGGAGGCTCCCTTCCTGATCTATCAAGTTCAAGTGGGTTGACAGACTCGTTGGGCTGCCAGTCCTGTATGGGATCTACCAGTTCCTGTTGCTGTCCATGGGTACTGCACTGTCCGTTTCACATCACATCAAGCAAGCCCAGAAGTAAAACCTGAAGTGCATCTGGTATTATGTGTATATATATATATATTTGAAACATCAAACTCCCAAAGCCATGGACGATTTTCTTCTCCTCCTCACCGAAAAATCCCCGTGTTTGATTGATTTGTTATATTTTTTTGTGGAGCTTTTTCGGACTTCCAGTTCTTCCACCTTTTTGTGGTTCCAAAGTTCCAGACCAAGATGTCTTTTGTAATACCCAAACCATCCATGGGGCTGGCGTATTTACCTACATCGGGGTGGTTGCAGGGGTCAAGGTATGCAATGCCATACATGGATGGTCTGGGATAATTCATTGCGTTCTGCGCCTCATTTCCGTATATCGAGGAAACCAATCGTTTTGGCGTCATGGTGTCCCTTATAGAGTATTCCCTTCAACCAATCCCCCATCATCCCCAATCCATTGAATCTCCATATCCATCAGCTCTGGTGGTTTCCGATCTTCCCTCTCAACTGACTCCCTGAGCTTCCCTCTCAACAAAAATTACCGGTTCACCTTTCCGAACTCCACCTGCTCTTGTTTAAACCAAGTGGGGTGTAATCGGTCACCAACCAATCGCTCAAGCCACAAAGACAGGTGACCTGCAGGTGATCCACCTCTTGGCTTTACCTCAACCTCCCTGGCTGCGCCTGAAAGCTCCAAGCGCTGCCAGCTTTGAGCCGCTGGGCGCGCAAATGCTTGGCCACCACCGGCGGCGCATTGTCTGGCGATGAGAGCTCCGTGCGCGAAGAGAGCGCGATGCGTGCGACGAAGTGGTGACACCACTGGGCAGAGATGTCTGACTCGGTCGACGTCTGACATGTTGCTTGAAGGAAGTACAGCGCATCAAACCATGCGAAGTCCAGACTTTGTATCGCAAAGGCCTGACTAGACTTGATTTAGTGGCCGTTAGTCATTTTTCCTTTTGTGGTTCCAGCCATGTATTTCGCTGGACAAACCATTTCTGTGAAGGACTGTAGGTTCAGTGCTTTCTTGATCCACATACCTCAGGCATCCTCAGGCAATGCACAGCTGCACAAGCACCCGCTGGAATTTGCCTGCCTGGCCCGTACTTCAATTCTCCAATGCCGTCACCTGCACGGAAGGATTACTTCCAAGAAGGCATTCAAAGCCACAAAAGAAAGGGATGTATAGGGTGCTAATAGGGTGTTACTTCAATTTATAGGGTATCATTAGGGTCTTTGATAAACTTTCATAGAGTAATACATGGTAATACCATTATACAAGCAAAACGACAGTTCAAAAGTGTTCAAACAGTTAGTATATCTATTGTCAACCCTTCCAGGATCTCTCCGCTGATCTTTCGATGTCACTGGATACTGCAAGCTATGAAATCTAGACCCTTTCATTACCCTTGGATATGGTCGTTGGAGGACTCTTAATGCCTAGGAATTTCAGAATGTTGTCTCGAGTGGATGAAGCTATGACAACCCACATCGCGCGACCCACCTACTGCGTTATCCACACGTCCACGCGCTGGCATGACCGCGGGTCGGAGCCTACGATCATGTCGAACTTGTCTGTGACTGAGAAGTGCTGGGAATCAATCGCGGTCAGCCACACCTGCAAATGCCGAAACGCTGGTGACTCTTGGCTTATCATCGGCAATGTCCACTTCCAGAAACGACTTCCCTCCGAATCGCAGGATATCTTTCCATATGCAATTCTTCCACGTGCCATGGATCCCAAAAATGCAATGTTTCCCATGCGATGTTCCCTCCTGACCCAAAACCACACAGCTCTATGCCCCCCACCGACCGAGGAGACGAGACCATGCGGCATGCGCATCCGCGCTTCCGCCTCTAGGACGCCATGCGCATCCGCTGGCGGAAGCCCATAGAAGCGGCCTTGTGCCTCGGAAAGGGTCGGTCCACTGGCCGCCAAGCGACAGGACAAACGACGGTGAACGACCCTGCCAAGATGGATGGGAGAACTGAAAAGTGGCAGTTTTTTGCTTAATTATTCAAATCAATCATGTTTTTTTTGAGTGCCTGCTTCGGGGTTCTGCCAGGCTTTGGGTGCTGAAGCCATGTGGCCGCCAAGCTCATGTGGACCAAGGCCGTCGTGGTGCCATGTGGAATCCGCAAGCGAAACAGTGGAAGCCAGAACTGGACCCGAAAGCAAGCCGAGGCGCTGGATCGAAATGGAGCCAATTTGGAAGCTCCGAGCCATCCTGACATCTGTTGCTTTGATTTGTCTTGTACTGTGTGTGTTTGTTTTACTGTACGTGTGTTTTTTTCGTCGGGAGACGCTCCAAACATTTGGTCTTGTCAGTGGGTGTTTGTTTCTTTGACCTCGGTTTTCCAACACAGGCACTCCAAGGCAAGCTCTTTGTTCTTTTTTGGAGATGTACTGCTTCAGTCGGTGTGTTTCGACCTAGGAGTGCAACCTATGTCCCTGGATCTTCCAAAGCCAGCATGGGCACAAGAAGCAGCAACACATAGCAAAAAAGGTAAACATGAAACTACCTTGGTAAAACATATTTTGTAGAACACACGGGCTTGCACGCACTTTTGAAGGTCGACACGTTGCATGTAGTTGCCATTTGTAGAACATATAATATACATATAGCTGGGTGGCTGTTAAACCTTCATTTTTGATGAAAACAGGTCCTCTATTCATCTGAAAATGACATCTGTTGAAAGGGTTGGTCGTGAAAGCTGTTTCTGCGGTTGTGCTTTAAGTCTAGGAACAAAGTTTTGGGCCATTGATTCGATGCTACCAAGCTTGCAAGTGAGGGTCATCAGCAGCAAAGACTTCATTCAGCAAGCGGAGAGCAAATCCTTGCTAAAATTTTGGGATGCGTGTTTACTGTTGTGCCAAAGAACCATTCCATCTCCATCTCCACTCCTTGAATGTTTCTGCATCTTCCTTCCATTCCCACTCTGAGGACGCCGACGCACGCCAACGAACGCTCCGCCACGCACGCCAACGGTGCGATGTGCTACGCCTTACTGGTGGCTTTGAAGTTCAACTTCTCACCGTCCATGGTGTCAATGAACATGCCCTGCCAGCGGCAGCGGTCCGTCGGGGTGCTTCGTCCAGCGTTCGTCCAGCGCTCCGGCCGCCTCTGGCCTTCTCCGGTGAGAATCACCATTCCACCACAGGGCAAATGAACAGCAATAGCAGGCAATAAAAACATGGACAAGACCATCTGATGGTCATGTTTGTAAGGAGAGAAAGGACACAACATGAAAATGACATAAGCATTCTACGCAAGCGAACGGTCAAGCAACTATTAAACGTCAACACCTGCTCCTCTAGAACTGGATATAGAAAAGCACGTCCCATCTAATGTGTCTCTAACTCAGGAACATTCTTCTATATCCTTGTATAGATGCGAAAACCTGGTTTACTCTTAGCCTTTCCTGCTCTGACTTCTCAAACATCAAACACCATGTTTCTCCCCAACATGCTTCACCACACAGGCGCCGACTTTTGCGCAAACATGCCGTTTCGAGCAAGGAATGACTGTTTGTCCGCCTTGGGCAAGGCATAGACAAAGTCCTTTCCCGGCCGCACTCTCTGCAGAGGGATGGGCCTCAGTGGGGTCCGGGTCCGTTTGGGGGAGGACGGTACGTGGCACCCAGATTTGCCCCTCCAACGGTCGATTTCTTCAGGCGAAAAGAGCACGGAGGGTGCGAAAAGCGCAGGTGTTTCCTGGTGTCCATGCTTACAAGGAGCATACCATAGCCATGCCAATAGTAGCTATCAGCACCATTCCTATCACCAAACCAAACAACCACTGAACCACACAGCAACATCTTCAAGAATCCCATGTTGAGCCTGAGCCTGAGTCCATGAACACAGCACAAAGGTGTTTCGAATTACTGACCATGCGTGGCGAGGACTATTTCCACCAAACACACGGCCGGTCACGCTACTAGCATTTCCAACTCGAAGCCTCCCGTCCCAACTCACCCCACACCGGATCCTCACCCCTCCCTCCCACCCTCTCTGCACCCTTCCTTTTGACCTCCATCCAAGCCGCTTCGCCAGCGCGGGACCACCACCAATGTCCAGCGTCAACGTGGTTGAGGCTTCCACCCCGGCGGAGTTGATGCTGCGCACCTGGCCCGCGCCGACTCGCGGCACTGTCCCGGTGGACCGAGCCGTGCCGAGCTAAGCCCTGCGCGCGCGAGCGAGCCGTGCGCCGGCGCGCCTTGACGTTCATGACGCCACGGTCGGAAGCGCTGGGGGTGCCGCTCAAGGTGCATGTCTTGGGGTTGAAGTGAAGCCAACTGGGCAAAGGCCGTCCTCCGCGAGACCCTCAGACATGTGGCCGGTCATGTGGCCCCTCGACTCAGACAGGTTTGGCGGTGCGTGGAAGGTGGAGACGCGTGGACTTTCCAGGGGTCCGGGAGTTGAGCGCCAACTGTGCCACTTCCGAAAACACCGCGTCGCTGCACAGAACCTGGACTGAAACAAAAACTGGCAGAGCAACCTGTACCTGTTGTAGACATGTCTAAACTGTTTAACAAAGGCCTGGTGAAAGAGGAAAGATCAACATCGGGTGTGGAATACTGGCGTCGAGTGCAACGTCAACTCTGATGGTGGTTTTGACCTGCTTGAAGCAAAAATATGGATCATTGTGTGATTAATCATTGAAAGCTTGAACATAGACATGTAAGAGATTGATCAGATTCAAAACCACCCACCAGCGCAACAATGTAGGACCAACCAGCATGCACATGGCACCTGTTGTAGAACACCTGGAAAAATAGGATGTACAAAAAGAACAACGTCCCATAAGATCTCCCCAAATGTTGAAGAGCCAATCTGTAGATGTCCCTGCCATGTGCAGTGGTTTTCTCATGGAGACCTGCGCAAACAATTTCGAGAGTCATGTGAGGCGAGTCACGATTTCATGAGGCAGTTCCGAACCTAGAAGGATTCATCAGAATTCCAATCCGCACTTGCTGTAAACCATCTCAAACCGACTTCAAACCCCAAAAGGAACAAACGTTTTCCATGCGGATTCTGGATTCTTCACGATGGTGCTTTGGGGCGTCGGTCGGGCGCCGTCGGCACGGGCGGGCGGTCGCCAGATCGCGTCGGTCGGTCGCCCCGAAGAGTGCGGTCCATCCAACATGGTGGTCTTGAAGATCAGGTCGTCCCCCAAGAACCTTGCTGAGTGCTGAGGTGTCTAGAAGTAAGCAGCGTGAGAAAAGTGGAAGAGGAAAGTGGCAAGCCCAGCTGGATTCTTCCAGGCAGCTTGAGAGAAGACACTTAATTTTGGGGGCCAGGACAAGTAGTTCAGTATTTTAATGCAGTGCAGGTAAATATCCAAGTATGAAAAAGGCGCTTGTGAAAACTGAGTTTTGGGCTCCCTAAAAATCTAGAATGACTCTCAAACATCAGGCTGAACTGTGAATTCCATGCAGTTGCAGCTTGCATCTTACTATGTGGTGATGCACTTTCTTGTTGACCCATTTTCTTGTGCTTCCTTCTGTGAACATCTCGACTCCATTGATTCTCGATTCCTCCTCTTCCAGCGATGGTTCACACATGTTCACACCCACGTCCGTGTGCCCCGAAAACGGTCCGTTCTCTCATCACCCATTCGTCTGCGCCCTGGTCCGTCCGGTTTAGCCCCCTCGCTCGCTCCAAGGCACAGGTGCTTGGGAAAGGTGTACTCAAAGAGCAGCCCGGTGCGCGCGCGGATGGGCGCCTGTCGTGGTTCGTGTGGTCGTTATGTTGGTGAAACCCCGACTATAAGGAGGAGCTGTGCATCGGGTGAAAGCGATGGTCCCACCGAATGGGAAGCCGTTCGGGGGTCAGTGCCACCCTTGACCGATAAAAGGCCATCTGAGTCTGTGAAGCATGAGCCCTGGTGGCTGAGCTGTCACAGCATTGTGGCCTTCTCTATGATCTATACTGTATGTTTGTTTTTTATCCCTGGAAATTGTACCAACCCCAAACCATCCATGAGACTGGCATATTTACCTACATCGGGGTGGTTGAAATGGGGTCAATGTAAACATATGCCAGGCTCGTGGGATGCTTTGCATTGATCAAGACTCAAGACAAATAGTTCTAGTCTTTTTGAACCCCGGAAATGATCCCAATGTACCAGGACCTTCAAAGTGACCTTTTGAGATCCTAGAATGAGGTCACTTAGGCCTACTTAGGCCTGTAAAAGGTCCAAACAGGTCACTTTGAAGGTCCTGGTAGGCAAATGTATAGGCATACCTGCATTCGTCTCGTGAAAAAGGACATGGTGGATTGCCCTACTGAGCACGTCGGACGTTCTGTTGTGAAGACCACTGGATGAGGACCACACGGGTATACGCGGAGATACCGTGTGTTGTTCTCACCCATCCGATCGTAGCGGCACCGATCGTCCCGGGAAAGTGAAGAACCACCAGGAGGGGAATACTTGATGACTTCAATGGACCGACCCTCAAGGTCGACCAAAGGTTATACATTAGTCTGCAACCCCCTGGCAATCGTGGTGGATTGATCTGATTTGCAATGGGGATCGTTCTGAGTCTGAAGCATCACCAGAGGCGTCGCATCTCCCTCGGCCGATCATCGGCCTGGCCTCAGCTCAATAGACTAAAGAAACCTTAACTTACCACCATCTGGTTCGGCTCCAATAGGAATTGAATACTTCTATTTAACGAAACCATCACATCAAAACATCAGTCTGACATGACCAATGAACCTGTCAGTTCGACGCGTCCGGTCTTTATCACCGGCGATTTTTTGCAGGATCCAATGCGGGTCAGTGCAACCAGGTCCTAGGAGGAGACTAGAGTACCAGTCCCAAATATCAATAAAGAATAGTGTGGCGTGGCGATGTGTGGCGCACTGCATTCAATGTCATGTCTCATCTCTGGCGATGACTTATCTCACTTCTCTCGCATGGGTGTAGTCTATTTACGGGAGACCTCCCAACCTCCTGCCAACAAGGGAACATAGAAACTAGACCCAAAACCTAAACACATTGGTCCCACAAGTCTTCCTATTGAGCATAATACACTCAGAGTTCTTGCCACCTCCCTTTTTTGCAGGGGTCCCAGCACCCGTCGTCCTCACCGAAGGTCCGAGATCCTCACCTGGTTCGAATCCTGTGGTCCCACTTCCACCTCCTCAGCCGTGTCCTCGGAAGACCGCCGCTTCCGCGAGAGAATCCACTCGCGAAGGAAGCTTTTCGTCGGGACCCGTGGAAGGTAATCGTCGAGCGGAGAGAGTGTAGAGAGGAGTGGTGTCGGGTCTCCGAGAAGAGAGGCTTGGAATCCAAAATGTGATTTGATTTTATCCATTAGAACTTCCGGACTATTTGCCTACATTGGGGTGGTGGTCTAGATGCTTTACAGGTATGTAGGTCAGTAATTCCATACCACACAGGTTGTGGGGGCATCAAATCTTCAAGACATTAATCCTTGGGCAACCAATTCGACCAGCGGCAGCGGCAGCTGTGCAAGACTGACTCCAATCCCGTCGGTCAGCTTAGCACGCTTAGAAATTCAGAATCCACTACGCGTGCCCTTTGGATTCAAGGCCAATAGATTCAGAATCCCCGGAACAGTCAGAATATCCTCAAATATTTGGGATGCTACCCTTTGGTGGACCCTCTTCGAGATCTTAAACATATCTCTCGTCTCTCCTCTGGTTGCAAGATCAATAAGAATCCTTGTAATTTACCATTGTTTGGCCAACTACCAGTGATTGGAATGATTACTATATTTTATTACAGTAATATATATATAGAGATATAATTTCTGTTTGCCTGTTCGTACAGTCTGTTCAAATGTCACTGCTCAAACTGTTCGTTTCATTTCCATTCACCGCGGCTGGCTTTCTGACTACAGTCCTTATGCCAAGCGGTTTGGCGGTCAGGCACCACCTGCCAGGGAATGTTCAGGAGTAGATGGGTGTGTGTAATCTCTAGCGTCTGGAGTCTAGAGCCCAAATGTGACCACTATTATCATTCTTAAGAGGAAACACACATAGTTGGGGTGATCTACAGTAAGAGGTCACTCAGGGTCTAATTAGGTTAAAGGGAGACCCAATCGAGATGTGGCTATCATTTCCCTTCCTTTCCATGAGGAACTCTGAAGGGTCGCCCTACAAAAAAAACATGGAGATGAGTATGATTCTCCCCTGGATCTGTCATAATGAAACTATGTGAGAGACACCTACTAGAATTACTAGAAGGGTGATGATTCAGTGATGATCTTTCGAGTGAGACAAATGGCTTGTGTCACTGACAATCCTCAGAATGAACCTATGCCTATGTCTATACCGTTCACCCACCAGCGAGCAAAACAGGAATATGTCTGCAAGGCTCCCCAGGCTCCCAGGCTCCCACTCTCACAACGTTCTTCCCGGGAGGCTGGGGACGGGAAAAAGAATATTGCGTCTTCGTGTGTCTTGTGATTTGTGCTGTGAAAACTCGACCAAGAAATGATGGGACAAGACACAAACACACAAGCACCTGCGCATCCCGGAGCATCCTATCTATGGCAATGTACACTCTGACTCACTAACATTAAGTAGAAAATGGTCCCTTGGAAAACTACTTTCCTTTACGAACAGGGGGTGAACTCCATTTCCATGGAACGTGCATCAAAGTGTCTTGCATATTTACCTTCTCTGTTGCTCTCTTTCACGCGCACGGCAAAATTCCCCAAGACGGGTTCGTCATGCCCATGTTCATCCTCCAACAAAGGGCATGTTGTTGACTACTGTAACTGGTTTCTACAGAATCAGAATGAGTCTGTGGGCAAATCTTGGGTCTATCCTATTACCAGGGCCCAGTGGATGATGATGGTTCTATAGTAAAAGCCTTGCTCTGCAAATCTATTGTTCAGACTCTGAGAGACTGATTCATTGTACCCTTTGGCTCCAGTCATACCTTCTGACTTCTGAACATGTGGGACTGGGGGTGAGTGCCAGGAGAGTCCAGTCCTTCTGAGGCGTTACTTGGGGCCCACCGGGCTACGGGTTCCATATGTTTCCATGTCATCTCAGCCGTCCTTGCCTTGCACATGAAGGAGTTGAGGCAGGCGAACTGCGTGGTGCGTGCCATGAAGCCCGCCGTGGACTGGATTCGCATGTGCACCTGGCGCCGGCGCACGCACGGTGCGCACGGTGCGCTGTGGATCGCACACGCTCGAGAGGATGAAGAGGAAAGTGCGTGCTGGAACCTCGGAAAAACTGGGGGGACAAATTGGCTTTATGTGTAATTTTTTCACACCCAGGTATAAACATTAATTGCTAAGATGATCTAAGATTGGCTAAACATAGTCACATCAGAGGGAAACTAAAGATCATCGCAAGACCGAGGGGAATGAGGTATAGATCCTACACTTAAAACACATTGAAGACTTGTACTCTCACAAGCTAAGACCATTTTACGACCCAAACAAAGTGTTTCCCCAACGAGCAGAACTGCCTTTTGGTCCATCGCCGTTGATTGAACAAGTGCCTTTGCCCTGTACTCAACACGTCGTTGATGGCCCCAGCGCCTTTTTGACATTCTTGAACTCAAAGGCCACGCACCTGGCAGGATGGCAGCGCCGTCGATCGCGGCCACGCGCGGGCGGCCAAGCGATCGTTCGCTTCGAACAAGAAACATGCCGAATAGGTTCATGTCATTAATGTATTAACCATGCAATCCCGGATCCACATACCTTCTCAGAAAGTATGATTGGGCCCGACAATGGCGCCTACATAAATGGTCTCCTTCCTCACCGTACCGATCTCGGTTCGGTATGTGGATCAATGTAGGTGTTAACAGGCCCTTGCGTCGTCCCAACCACCTCCAATAGACTGAAAGGAAGCATTCGGTTTGCTCAACCTCACCACATCGGCTTGCTCACTGTGGATCTTTCTGGGCCTACAAAGAGATGGTCCCCCATCCAATCCCCTGTCATGTCCAAACATGGGCCCCGGCCCAGAAAAAGAAAGGAATCATGTCGGGGACGAAATCGAGTGACCCAGTGGAGTATAGATGAGTACAGTATAGTGGAGTCATGGGTGATGGAGTGAAGGAAATTCCAAACTTTCGAGTGACCCAGTGGACATCACCCGCCACGGTCCGTGTCCAGAAAATCGCGGACGCGACGAAAACACCCGCGCCGTGGACCGCCGCGAGGTTCCAACGCCGCTTTGGGGTGCCTGTCTTCGTCCAGTTTCTGCTCATGCACCACCTGCGAAAGAGATCGCAAAGCATCGCAAAGCAACAAATACAAAACACCTGAGAAAGGTCTGATGCATTTTTGCTGCAATGTGTTTTTGGCCCATCACCCAGAAATACCGAAAGGACATTCTGACCTTCAACGATAGAGACTCTGGTTGTTAAACCGCGCGTCATGCCCTGTCCGACCGGGGTCGACCACCACCTCCTCGCGCCATCGTCGGCGCCGTCGTGGTATGACCGCGCCTTCACCGGATTGTCCTGATAGGTTCCTTTCTCGGTGCCTTCGAAGCTGAAGGTGCCATCGGGATGGCCCACCTGGCGGGTCGGACGACCGTTGGTCGGTTATGGGTTCTAGACGACTCACCATGCAAATGGCTAGTGTGAGTAGCACCTGGAGCTAGGTATACTCACCATTGGTAGGTTGATCTTCCAAGACTCTCCCAACTCTAGTCGCTTCATGTTCCGGAAAAACCAGGCATCTGTTCCGCAGCCAATGGTTCAGCTACCAGTCCCAGCCACTGCCAGGGGCCGTAATGTAAGACCGGACCAGTCCCGAAGCTGCCACTGGCAAGCACCCACCGAACCGAACCAGAGTTTCGGAGGTGGCTGACAGGCAAGGAAGTGGCTGAAAGACCGTGAGAGTACATAGGGCTGTGAAATCCTGAGTGACAACTAGGCTGAAACAACATGCACGAATTCAACCACAGGAGACAGGCCCCAAAAACCATGGCGGACTCATGGCGAATCATTGGTCTGCTCAATGTTTCAAGAACAGTGTCTTCTCCCAACAGCCCCCTTCTGGACCAACTGTCTGCAATTGCTGGAGTTTCTGTCTGTCAATCCAATCCGGCCTTCTTGATCTGGGTGGTGTTGCTCATGTAGACCTCGATGCGTCGATCTAACTTCAGGGCTTGGAGAAGCGAAACATACACATGAAATACCTCAAAAACTGCCTAACACTAAGCATATTTACCACCGGTGGGATACCTTGGGCTGGTTGACCTAGATGTTTCTGGGGTTGTATGTAGCCATCTCTCCCTCACCATGCTGGTCAACCACCACTCAGACTTGGCCAAACTCGGAAGCTTCGAGAGAGTTCGGCGTGGCGCGTGGCGCGCCCAGGGGCCATGGTGTACGGCTGCTTCGGGATCACCATCTCCACTCCTTCGCCCGGCTTCTTGTCCCTGGCCCAACGCCACGAGTTTGGGAGTCGGGATAGGAAGGAGGTTTCAGGTGCCGCACTGGGATGTTCAGGGCTTGGGAAAGAACACACCGAAAGGATATAATGCTTGAGTTGTTCTTGTTGTTGCCGTTGTTGCGTCTTTTGTGTAGGGTTGACCTGCGCAGTCATGCAACATGCGTTCTGGAAAGTCAGCGATCTCCAACGCCAACGTCGATGGTGAAGCTATATCCATTTTTCAGGACATGTGTCACGTCACGTGTGTCTTTTGTTCATCCATACGATCTATAGGGCCTCCAAAACATTTTTTAAAAATGCTTCATCTCAGAATCCGATGACTCTGAACCCCCCAGAGACGGCAGAAGGCACGATTCGATGGACGATCGCATATGATCGCATCGTCCGGCCTGTCCATGTCGTAAAAGCTAATGGTGAAGGTTCTCAACTCCACTGGCTTCTTGTCCACGGTGGTAAAGCCTCGCTTCTTCGTAAGTTCTCCGAGCACGTGATGGTGAACTTCGATCTTAAAGACGGAGTTCAAAAGGCCAAACACGTTGAGTGCCGACATATGCACAAGATTGCACAAGCAACAAAACAAACAGTAGGTCAGGCCCATATTCTTTAGAGGGAGACACACATATTACATCTTGTATATATGTATCCTGGATCCTGTGTATCGGCACCTTGTGGTACCAAGGTCTCAAGCAGGTACCTTTGCTTTTGTTCCTTGGCCCATGCGACCCTGTAGAATGCACAATAGGTCCACTAGCGGCTTAACAGCATACGAACACGGCGCAGCAAACAAACACTCCAGCCAAGAACACGAAAGAACCAAATCCGCATATGGGCACAGACCGCCAAACAAACGTGTTCTTTAATCCGCAGCTTTGCCACTGCTGCCAATGCCAGGTACCTGATCCATCCTGATCCTCCCTCCCGACGGACCCGTCTGGGCGTCCCCAACTGAACACCACGTCCAAGGCATGGCCCGCTTCCCTCGACGGGATCCGACGGATGCGACGACTGCTCTGGGCGAAGAAACCACGACGACTGATCAGTCGGAAGGTAGAGGCTCTGGATCAACAACAAAAACCCTGAGGGACATGGTGAAAGGTCAGGATCTTCAGATGGATTCTCCACTAATTACTCTGCACATGCCCTGGCTTAAGTTTAAGTGCCCAGTGCCCAACTAAACTTCACCTGAGTAGCACGAACAGCCCAGCCCTCAGCACCAGGTGCGGCATGTAGTCCTAAAATCCACAAATGCGTTTGAGTTAATTGTTTCTCTTCTTGTACATGTAGACTCTCGCGCTCCTCGATTATAATTCAACACCCCAAATGAAAAAGAAGCTACAATCCACATGAACCGTTTATTCATCAAGATTCAATCAAGATTCTACGTTTACTAACTACCCCCATAAATATGAAGAGGTTGTTTCAATTCAAATGGACCGGGGGTTATTAATCAAGAGTCTACAAGAGTCTACATGAAACACCTCGGACGGTTCTTCCGTCGTCTTCACCCACGACTCGAACACGATGTAGACTCGCCTTGGGGGTAGACTCGTCGCTCACCAGGACGTCGCGTCGAAGCCTTCGGCCCAAGCCACTGGGTAAAGACCCCGAAGCGACCGTTGAGGCCATTGGCGAAGGAGTCCCAGGGCGTATAGCTGGAGACCTTAGAGTCGAGGAGAGCATGGTCTTACTATGCTTAAAGACTCTTAAAGTATGCATACCAGGAGTCATGTTCGACGGGGTGCCGAACTTGGAGGTTAGGGGTGCCCAGAACATCCACTCACTTCGGGACCAAACACCACCCCTTTGTGACCCCTGGTACCTGATGAATCCCAATGATTGGTTCTTCGTTTTTGGCTCCTATTTTCTAACATAGCGGCCCTCCACCGAAATCAAGCTACCTGGACTGTCCACCTGGACACAGCAATGAGCTGCCGGGCCACTCAACGTTTCAGGTTTACGTTTCATGTTTTTGTATGTTTTTGTGTTCTTTGCCCGAGTCTCGAGTTCTGTGGGAGCCACATGGAGCGGCAAATCACAGCGTTCTGTGTCCACTCTTGGGGTGCTGTGAATTCCCCACAGAAGACGAATACACCCTCCCACTGCCAACAACGCTGACGCTCACATGGTTCACAAGGTCCATTTTTTACAAGGGTCTTCGACCTTCTCCACCTTATCCGAGCGGTCGCCCAAACAAAACCCACAGCACGCAACCCTGACCCAGCAGCCCACAACATCAACCCACTGCAAAAGCCCGCTCTCGAGAGATCACGTGAAGGACTGAGCCCCTTCTCTGAGTAGCGTCCTTGCTCCTAGTAGCGTCCGTGTTCCTAGTAGTAAGGCCAGGAGCCCCTAGTAGCGTCCTTGCTCCTAGTAGCAATGCCCTTTGTTCCTAGTAGCGTCCCTGGAGTGATCATGTTCACATACGTTCACCACCTTTGAGCACCGTCGGATCTTCACCACTCAGAAAGAGATGCTTGTGATAGCCAAGGGGCTGCATGAAGATTCACATGCACAATGCGGTGCATGTTCCTGAGGAAAAGCAAGAGCAACACCACGAAGGAAAAACTCAGGTTAAGGGGAGGACGCACAGAGGCGTCTCCCCATCTTATAGACCACCCAGTGCCACAATAGCAATGTCGAAGATGAGGCCATAAGCGCAAAATCCGCTGTTCAGATTCTTGATTCTGATGTCTAGACAATCGGCATCTCAGGCGGGTTCATCTCAGTCTAGACGATCCAATGAATAGAAGATGATTGGAGTGAACTGGTGAAGTTTTTCACCACAGTGGATGCTGTCACCACTGGTAAGCAGGGGTTTCAACTATTGAAGTTCATTGACCTAGAACGCTTGGGCAAGGGACAGATTGAGGGAAATAGCCAGCTCTGAAACGGCTATAAAATGTGGTTGCTGTGCTGTTGCAAAGTGCACAGCTGCACAACACTTGATGGGGAAGGATAAGTGGGGGTGCACCAACTTCAGCCGAGCATCTTGTAATACTCCACAGCCTGATAAATGATCCCTTCCTCTCCTCGGCCGGCTTCGTGCTTGACATAGTGTTGGGATATATTATATTTATATGGACCGGATACAAATAAGAATTGAACCATCTTTGACCATCTTGGTCCTATTCGGCAAGTTCTCTTAAGGCAAGTTGGCACGTGTTCTTGGCAAAGATCGTTTTCACTCGGTGGTTCTGTCACGTCTTCGACTTTCGACCCGGTTGCATCCGGCGCCCCAACATGCCCAGGCGCCATGGTGAGGGCCATGGCCTCCGAGGTTGTTGTGCAAGACCTGCTCAGCTCACGCCGGTTGGTGAGCGCGGGCGGTGGTGCACAGCAGGAGCACGTGACGGCCAGAAGGGTACGAGGGCGCTGTGGTGGCTTGTCTGAGTTTGGAGAGGGTGAAAGATGGCAATCCAATGCAATTCACCTATCACTGTTGCAAAACAAAGCTGATTCCATATGATTCCATCATGTTCAAAGTTCAAGCATGTTCAAACTGAATGTTCCAAACAGCCTCTCAGAAGGTAGCTGGAGCTGTAGGGGTAAAGGCCATGCCTCTTCCAGCATCAGGTATGGCTCATCGCCACAATCGAATGGGCCACCATCACCTGAGCTGACGAATCACGCTCCGTCTTTTCGCGTGAGGTTCGGCCAAAAGCATCCATTAGCCAGGTGGTACAGTACACGTTCAAGTCACCCCTGGCCCGGGTCGTGATTGCTTGTCTATCTTTCCGAGCCAATGCTTTCTCGAAAGTCGAAAGTGTATATTTTGGGACAGGCCTATCGTAACCCGTTTGGGCTCCTGTCCCACATGCTCCTGTCCCACCTTCTTTTCCTTGGCCCGGAGCCCGCTTGCCAACGGGTCAATGACTGAACTCCAGATCTTCATCGTTTGCCCAGTCCGAGTCAGAAGCGAAAAGGCCACGTCGACGAAGCCGCAAAAGGTCGGCGAAGCTGATGAAGCAAATGGACGCCAATGAACATCAAAGGTATAGGGTTCACAGAATGTGTCACATGTGACATGAATGGTTCACAAAATTCCCAATTCCATGTTGATGACTCATGATATCATTCGATAAATACGACCCCCCCAAGGCCTTCAAGAAGCTCTTTGGAGGGTCCAAAGAACACCTGGTCCAGGAATGACCGACCCCTAAATCTATCGACATGAAGGAAAAACCGAACTGGAACCATCGACTCAGTGGGCTGGCCCGAACTGGAGTTGATGTCTACAGTTTCATGTCTTGGTCACTCCAATTCGGCATATTCACATGATCCCATGTTCAAAGAGCTACGACATTCTGGGGAAGGAGCTTGAGCTGCCCATGGAATTCAGGCTTGACTCGAGCAGTTCACCGTGATCGGAGGCCAAAACCTCGCGTATCCTCGCATCACCAAAAAACACCAAAAGCCTCGGTCCAGTCACCAGTCAGGCGAGTACCAACGGAGGCCAAGCTGCTTCGAGCGAATTGCCAAAGCGTGAAGAACGCCAGCAGTGGTCGCCGAAGAAACGCCATTGGTGGCTGGTCTTGGTGTTTTGTTGCTCAGGAAACCGATGTTCAAAGCCCGATTCAACTCATGGCCTCAACTTGTCGTCTCCGTCAGTCGCTCGTCTACCCTTGGGGTGCGCAAAGCGCAGGTCTTTAGAGAAATTATACCTCTGAAACTTAAGCCCATTGAACAATCTCAGAACATGTTTTTGTGTTTTCCCCAACAAAAGGAATGCATCTGAGCTCCTTGGTGACCTGGAATTTGTGTGCATCATGTTTCATGCTCCTTGGGTTAACCCTACGACGAAGATTTGACGGAGAACACCACGATGTCGGATTGAATTTGCATCTCCCGTTCCAACAACAAAATGCCAACACCCTGACACCCTCAAGAAAGAAGCAACGAAATAAATGAGCTAGCTAGGTTCCTTACATTAGGAAATATTATGAGCTTATGGGCTATGGTTGCTTGAATTTCTCTTCCACGCGGAGTACATGGATGATTCCTGGATGATCTTGTCAAGAAAGGCACTTTCTCCTCCACAGACTCATTGCCAGGGCAACTGCCCGGGCAACAGATCAGTAGAACAGGCAGTGGCTCTTTTCTGCTTTCTGCTCGCCTCTCTTTTGAGAGCGCCTTGTCTGCTGATTCCATTTCCAGCTTCAGAACCAGGGAACCAACATTGAAAATGGTACAAACAACGCACAGTACTTGCGCAAACCTATATAACACATATTACCATAGTGACTTATAGGTCTACGTTAGCTAGCCGACCTCTGTGCAAGTAGCTGTTCAGTGGGCAACCGTGCTGAAGCGTCGGAAGCGTATACGAAGCGAGCGTAGGACGGTGACCGACTTGACCTCTGGGATCGCGTGGGTCGCCTGTGGGGTGCACGTTGGTTTGGCTTGGTTTCTCGTCTCAAGATCTGGAAATCAGTCTTAGCTGCAGATGTGGATGTCCGGGCGCAACTGCTGGATGTCCTGATTGAATCAGTTTGACAGCTGAACATCTGATGGTCTCTGCTTCCACACTCACTGAATTATATGTATAGATGCCGTTTGGCAAGGGGCGTGCAGCGTTTGCGTGGCTTGCAGGTGAAACATGGCGCCAAGTGTGTTGGCCGATCTGGCTGGCAACATTGAGAGCAAGCAACACACAGAAAGAAAAGCATCTTCTTAACCAAGCAAACTACCACCCACATCATCAGGAACAAGCAAGCCAGACCAGAGTATAACCCCAAAGGCTCTCGAAATAGAAAGAACCTGGTAGATGCAAACCATTCATCCAACATTCTGGCCTCGCCTGCAAAAACGATGTAAAGGGTATAGTCAAACTCCAGGTGTTCGAACAGGTTCTTCTTCTTTGGTGATAACTTGTCACGTGACTATATCCCAAATCAACTTACTAAGCCCTCGCGATCCAAGTTGTTTTCTGTGAAGCCCTGTGTTTGGACGCTCCAGGCCTCCATCATTAAAGGAATCTCCAATCAGCCTCTCAAATGGTGCTGTGGATCCATAGGGAATGAATCACTTGACCCTCCTGTCTTTCCCTATACTCAATCATCTCAAACCCTTCAAAAGCCTCAGGGCAGCAGTGCCAGTTGACGCTCCCGTTCCAGCTCAGGCACCACGGTGTCTTCCCACCAAGCCTCTTTGGCATCGAGCATCGACGGCGTCCAGCATCACGCTTCCAGCGACATCAGAAAATCTGTGCAAAGCATTCATGTGAATGTGGAAATATTAAAAAACATGCATGTCTCTTTTAAATGAATAATTACTTTACAATGTGAATGAACACATTTATTAGATTAGATGGCAATCGCACCCTAAAATTGACTTCTTAAAGACCGGCCTTTCTGGAGATACATTCGGCTACACGAGGAGCGGAGGTGGCGCGCTCTGGGTGACACCTGAAAACCCCGGCCTCCACCGTGGCCTCATAGGCCAAATCAGTGGCTTCCGGGTCCTGGCTTCCGGACTGAGCTCTGGCTGCGGAGCCCGGATGGGCATCCTGTTGAACCGGTAGAGCATCCTGAGAAAAACAATAACATAGATACAGTAGCATTGATGGTGGTTCATGTTGAATTCGTGGATGGGGCTGCGATCCAAGTGCTAAGAGCTCTTCAAATTTGTTCTCTGTCTGTTGCTATTATTGTTTGTTCAAGCCAAGCATGTCCCAGAAACACGAAAGGTGCTGTCTACAGCTTGCTAAAAGACCGCTCAATCATCTGTCGACAACCTGTTGCAATTCCTAAGAAGTCTCATTAGTCGCCCTGGAACATATTATGGACACTCCATGTATGGCATATATGCCTACATTGACCCCCAAAACCACCCCAATGTAGGTATATATACCATACATGGAGTATCTGGGTATTATGGACAAATTGACACCCTCCGTTCTCGCCTCACCTGACCCCACCACCCCACCGCCCCTCGCTCTCCTCAGTCTGCACCACGTCCAACCAGTCCCACGGCTTGCATTTCTGGCGGAGCTGAGCCGACGAACCGTGCGAAACGAACCTACAATTCACTGATCAGGGCTCCGTTTTCGGGCTCTGTTTCCCAAACATCTACACTTGGTGTGATTTGACAAGGGGTCAATGATGGTCAATGTAAGACTAATGTATTTCTCTGGGACATGGAGAACAAACCGTCTCCAAGCTGCTCACGTTGGACGGCCCAACCTTGAGTGCATTCCATAGATCGTCGTAGCCTGAGCTGCTCAGATCGGCTCGGTCGGAGCCTTGGACCCGAGCGTCCTCGATGAGTGGAAGGTGCCCTCCCAGGGCTCCCAGGGCCCAGGTAGCTACCCCAAGGGTCGGATGGTTGAACGGAGGTGAGTACTGAGTACTTCCTGAGAATGGTCCAACTGGAGGCCGAAGCACATCATCACCAGATGGGTCCTGGAGTGAGAATGAGTCTATCCCACAGTCTAGTGTGCTGAATTGCTGAGCTACCAAGGATCAATCACGATATCATCGAGGGATTGAGTTGACAAGTATACCACAGTCCAAGTCAATGTGTTCCGTTTTGCAGTTGAGTGTCAGTACTTGCAGTTGAGTATACCACAGTTGAGGGCTAGACTTGTGACAAGTATGAATGTGTTCCAGTTTGCAGGGCTAGCAGGGCTAGACTTTTGCTCTGCTGCATAGGTGAAAGCACCATAGCGGCCGGGTCTCACAGAAGGAATCCGGCGGGCCATAGAAGCTTGACAACTCTTAGAACCCTGATCCCTGGCAGCCCTGGTTCATCTATCTATTCAATTCATATCTGTTCTGGAAGGGGAAGTTGTGAAATCCATTGAATCAGCTGGTGAAGTAGACCAGTTCGACCGGTGAAGAACTGCACACGTCCCAGAGTTGGACTGAAAAAAAAACAAAAGTTGGACTGCTCCACTCAACATGGAACAGTTGGAGCTTCAATTCATGTCAATTTGGGTCAGGATTTGGGTAAGTGGAGTGGAGCGGCAATACATGTAAGTTGCGTTGGATTCATCATGTCAAGTTACACCTATCCTGATGTCCGGCTCGCCAAGATTGCATCCAGCCTGATGTGCGGTCTGTATACCTAATCTCACTCCGGTTTTGCATGGCAATCAAAAGCTATCAGGGGTTTTGGCTCGTGCCACTGTTTTCACAGTGGGTCCCAACCCCGATTCGGTCCCATGCTTTTCTCAAAACTCAGACGACCCGGCGACCCTGGCCCTACCCACTTAGGCCATTGGCATTTTTTCGATGGATTTAGAGATGATTTTGGATGGCTTGAGGGATGAAGATCATCCCCTTTCAGGATGTGTTCGTTAATTTCAGACACCTCACGTCCTTTTGTTAGGTCCCAACGACCCCGATGGCTTTCAACCCAACCACTTTCCACCCGACGGTCATCGCCCAGGCGCCGAATTCCTCGGCCAAAGCGGTCCAGCCCATCTCATCGGACTGGCGGACTGGGGAGTCGTTCCCCCCGCAGAAGGAGCTCCGAAGGCGGGGATGGTCACTGGTGGGATGAGGTGGAACTGGGGATGTTCGAAGGGTTGGAGAGAACTCTCTTGTGTAATAATGAGCGGGAGACCACTCACTCTCATAGGTTTTGGTCTATATAGTAATTCATCATATGAGAGTGTATTATCATGTATTGTCCATAGGGTCAAGTCAGAATATGTGTGTGTTGGAGAGGTTACAAGTCGATCGATAATGTAGCCTCAAAGGCAGTGGCATGATGCCACCAATTAGCGAAGCTTTTCGGGAGCCTCATGAGTGCTATGAGTGCTGCAGCTCTCAGTGTTGTTGCCGCATGGGTTCCAAAAACATCCAACGAACCATTGGAGCCCAAATTATCTAATACAACACAACATCTGTTGCTGTTACATGTCCAGATGCGTTCCGGGCCTACCATCAGTCCTTTGATTGGCTGGTTTGTCACACAGACAAACTGAGAAAACATATTGCCAAAGGGTCTCACAAGGTTCCTGGCGCATCCGGGATGCGCCGGGGTGATTCTTGGATGAGATCCTTGTTTTTGGTGATCTTCTCCACCCCAACTGCAGCTGTATATCTATATATAGATCCCTAGGGATCCAAGTACCTTCTCAGAAGGTGATTGGAGGCACTGTTATGTAGGTTTGGAGGGTCCAAGTACCTTCTGAGAAGGACTTGGATCCCCAGGGGATTGTGTATAGTAAGTTTTACAAGTCGAAAACTCGAACACCGTGACCCCAACTCCCGGACTTCCTGACGCCGGTCGCCAGAAAAAAGGCGGCGCCTTCTCGAGGTGCCGAGAGTTCGCCAAGGCAGCCTGACGTGTTTCGGCGTTTACAGAAAAACGAGTCACCTACCGAAGCAGGTGGGTTTTTGTTCCGATCCACCAAATGTCTGTCAAAACTGCCAAGAAAGAACATGAAAACACTCTGCAGGTTCTTAAAGCTTTCTATACCATCCTGTCTGTCCTAGCCCACTTACCATCCATCTCCAGCCAGGACACCCCCTGATCCATTGATGCCCCCGCACCCCGACCACCCTTCGCCTCA